TTTTACTTTTTTTTTACAGAGCGAGGGTTCCATTGCGGTCAATTGCAGATTCGCTTTTAAGGTCACACCCACAATACCATGTATGTCTTTATAATATATGTATATATATATATGGTTTGGGGGAAATTTTCATTAGAGAAACGAGTAGAAGTAGAATTCTAATTTTCTTGTGATCTTTACTATTATTGTTATATTCTGCTTCATTATCAGTGTTGTTTTTGCAGGGACGAAGAATTGGTCCCGAGAGATTGGAGTATTCTCGAACTCTTACAACCTCAAATGGTAATGTTTCAAAATTCTTCAACTTGTGCGGGGTACCTAGATTAGTAAATATGCATGTTTTGTAGTATGTATAGGTGCACTGTGCCTATCAATTACTCGGTACTATCTCGGTAGTCAAATCAAGCTTCAACTGCAATTTTTAAAATTTCTTATAAAGAAAATTCAATTATTTCTAGTTGGCTTGACATATTTTTCTTCTCGTTTTCTTAGCCTTGGTGATATCTTGAAGCAGGATAAATGTGCAGACCATTTACTTTATGTCTTTACAGTAACCTTTGGTTAATTTGAGTGCAAGATGATAAATGCAGGTCATGAAGTTTCGTGGCACAGCGCAGAATCAATTACCAGGTCCATGCAGATGCAAATTGTTGATGCACTACGCTTGGGTGAGAGAGGCAAAGCTTCCAATCTGCTTTTGAATGTTGGCCATGGGAATGATTCGTTAAGAGCTGATGATTTCATCTATATTCTTAATTACTGTGCTAAGTCACCTGATCCATTGGTAAGCTGAAGAACATGCAATTAGTTGAGACACACTGTGTATGCGTGTTTATGTGTCTGATTCTACTACGTATTGTATACATTGTTTAAGTAGGTTGATTTGTTTTGTTAGTGTTTAATCACACCATTTAACCTATATGTTTGACATACATAGGATTGAGTTCACTTGTGTGTTAGCTGAGATAATGAGAGTTAGTGCATTTGAGTTGTTGATATTTGTGCCTGATTATGGTAATGTGAAGAGTGTCAAAGGAAAACCTAGCAAACTATATATAGACACTTTCTGTGCAATGAACATGTTTATATCGGTAGGATCACATTGCCAACTTTATTTGACTTAAATAACTTTGGGAAAATGCCATTGCGAAGGTAAGCATGGCGTTCTACAATTTTTCTGCATGTCAATAGTTGCTTTTTATAGGTACCTAGTTTCAGCGTGTAAGTGTATCTTATTTGGCAGTTGTTTCCTTTTCACGCAGTTTGTCATGGAGACTTGGAGAATAATGGATGAAAAAGAGATTAGCCTGAATAACATTTGCTCTTTGCTTATGGTGCAAGCTCTATGTAAAGGAGGATATTTGGAGGAGGTACGATTCATGCTATATACTTAAAAGGTATTGTCTGGCTAGCTTAGTCAGCTGGTAATAGTAAAACTATCTTGTTAGGATTACTGTAATATTATTAATGTAGTTATCAGAACCACCATTAAGATACAACCATACTTTTACCATCATTCTTTGTCAGTTGTTAATATTTTAATATTCTTGTGTCCACATGTGTTGTTCTTTGATCAGGCATTTAAGTTGATAAATTTCCTTGGAGAAAGTCCTGGCATCTATCCAGTTCTACCTATCTACAACAGTTTCTTAAGGGCTTGTGCCAAAAGGCAGAGTATAAAAAATGCCAATCAGTGTTTGGACTTGATGGAGCGTCAAATGGTGGGGAAGAATGAAGTTACATATTCAGAGCTTCTCAAGGTATGTAAAGCAAAACGGTTTTGTGTTTGTTCAAATATTATTTCGTTCCTCTTTTCAAGCACAAAGCCTTTGACTCATCACTTGAACAGTTGTTTTATTTTTTCTAACATGACAATTAGTTTGGGTGACTCATGTAATGTATTTAGATTACTATTAATCTCCCCATTCATGGCTTCAAATAATTTGTGTTGTACTGCTTCAATGTGCTTGTAAGGGGATAAAAGGATCAGTTTTAATTTCTAAGTGAAGCCCCAACTATAGCATAAAACTTTTCAATCAAAAGTAGGTCTGGAACTATCCTGTTTGATTGACATTTTTCTCTTTGATGATTATGATGTGCTTCTCTCTTGAATATTTGCAATGTCCGTATGGTGATGCATGTAATGTATTTAGATTACTATTAATCTCCCCATTCATGGCTTCAAATAATTTGTGTTCTACTGCTTCAATGTGCTTGTAAGGGGATAAAAGGATCAGTTTTAATTTCTAAGTGAAGCCCCAATTATAGCATAAAACTTTTCAATCAAAAGTAGGTCTGGAACTATCCTGTTTGATTGACATTTTTCTCTTTGATGATTATGATGTGCTGCTCTCTTGAATATTTGCAATGTCCGTATGGTGATATGAATAGTTTTCCTTGTAGTTCACTTTTTCCTTGCATTTTGTGAAATATTTACAGTGGACCAATATATTCTAAAGTTATTTGGGTCATTGATAGTTACCCTGTATTTTCATTTCTTTCAGCTTGCAGTTTGGCAGCAAAACCTGCCTGCGGCCCATGAAATTTGGAAGGATTATATCAAACACTACAGTCTGAGCATTATTCCTCTACGGAAGTTTATTTGGTCTTTTACTAGGTTGGGAGATTTAAAATCTGCGTATGAGAAGTTGCAATATATGATGGCTTTAGCCATCGGGGGAAACACTTATGTTAATAAAACTTCTGAAGGAAAGTTGTATTCGTCAAGATTAGACATTCCTATACCTTCAATCTGTGAATTAAACTTGAAGAAACTTGATTTGGAGGAGAATAAACATTCTGTTCCTTCCATATACTGTGAGAATTTGGATGACCATGCTGTTAATGCAGATCAGTGCACTACTTTTGGCTTGGGAGTTGGAGAAGTTGAAAATGTTCGAATGGATATGCTTGATATACATATAAGCCAGCCTGTTATGAAAATTTTAAGATGGTCATTCAGTGATGTTATTCATGCTTGTGCACGATTAAGAAATGGTGGCTTGGCAGAACAGTTGATCCTACAGGTATAATAACCTTTCTATAGAATCTTGTGTTGGTTTGTGTAATATATTACAATGTTTGGAATTTTCCTTTTTATGTGAAAATCTTACATATGGTACCTTCACTGAATATGATATTCCTTCTTCTTTTTTTTTTTTTTTGGAAAAGAATGCTAAATATGATATTCTTGTTTGGAGAACAATGTAGTTATAAGCTTCAGAAGTTTAGTTTTGTATGTTTTGATTGTGATGGCTATTTTCTTTGCTGATTTCATCTTTTTGTTTTACTTATGTGATTCTCTATCCTGCCCTTTTTTATTTATTTATCTATTTTGTATGTACCTCGTTCAGATATCATCTTATGACATACTAAAGGAGCCCATTTTTGTCTAGATGCAAAAATTTGGGTTGCAGCCGTCAAGCCATACATATGATGGCTTTGTCAGAGCA